TTCTACTTATCCTCACTGTACTAAAAGGATGTCATAAATTTTCGATTTGTTCAACTACTGAAATTGAACTCAGAGCAATGTAATAGCATGATAGGAATGAAAGAATGATATTCCATGCAAGGAATCAAACCTCAGGCTGTTGTGTGAAGGATAGCGATGTTAGCCATCACACCATCATGGATTGACAATTTGCAAAGTGAGGAAAAACATTACTGCCCTTTGCAATAGACCTTGCGGTAGCGCGCGCGTGCGAGTTTTTCCCGTTTTCCGCCCCTAAACTTCTTTCTTTTGTTCCGGGCTATCCACATTGTATTTCGACTAGCATCATTAATATAATTGGCTTGTATATACATAAAGAAAATTTACACGTCGAGAAAATGGCCCAAAAGGGTCCTTGACCTAGTGCCGGCAAACCGGACCTTTCCACGGTATAACCTTTTTTCCACTTGAAATAGAGCACCTACGCCCTTGGCTCTGTATTATGTTGTAGCTATACCTATATACAAAATTTACACGTTGAGAAAGAGGTCAAAATACCTCTGCAGGACTCTCGCACACATATGTCACGTCACGTGCATCTACTTCGAGCCATACCTTCGACTTCAACATGTTCCTGAGGTAATACTGTTAATTTGGCTACATTAAAAATTAAATATACTGCGTATCAACAACATAATCCAACATTGTACTTGGAGACGCAGCACAGCTGTTGGAATAAGAGCCAGCAGCTCCCTAGGCCCGGGAGTGGTGGGCTTTTCTTACAGGAGCAATTTCTTCATTTTTGCAACGTGTAAATTTTCTTTATGTATATACAAACTAACTCTATTAATGGTGCTAGTTGAAATACAACGTGGATAAGCCAGAATAAAAGAAAGAAGTTTGCGGGCGGAAAACTGGCGTGCGCGCGCTACCGCAAGGTCTATTGCAAAGGGCAGTAATAGAGTACTAGAAAATCAGGCTCCGCTCCGCTTGCCTAGAATTGAAGGTTAGCAATAACTGGATGGTGTTACCTTTTCTGCACAGCATCAGTAAACCGGTAATATTGTCCGGCTAGGTCCAACCATGTCCAGCCATGTCCAGCGGTTCCTAGTGTTCCCAATTTAATAGAACCTTGTCCTGGATCACGCTGGAACCGCCGGAACCAATTGCGCGGTTTACTGATGAGCGAACTCTGAACCTCGGTGTAATGCGGCCATCTCTGCCGTACACACGAAATGGAGCCATCATTTTGTAAGCTAACCCATCCAAGCCTGGGTAGATGTAGGGAGCCGTTTTCTTTATTTTCTTTAATATTTATTCTTATGATGGCTGACGAAGAATTATAACTAAACACTGGCTCCGGAATTGACTGGAATTTAGAGGGAGTCACTGTACTGTTTGTACTATACTGCCATATTTTTGAGAGGCGATTGTATGTAGACAACGTTGAATCGAATGAGCCTGGAAACCACTCCTTGGGCGTTCTCAGCAAGATATCGGGCTTTTGTTAAAATGGGTAAACTTGAAGGGTGCGCATCCGACCCACTAAAACCGCAGCTTTGCGCACAGTACAGTGCCCCATATGTTCCTCTTATACTGCTCTATAAACTTTACAAGGCGTGTCCTCCGCTTCGCTCCGGTAAAAGATTTAAAGGGCACTGAGGGGTAAATGGTGATACATTGTTATATTGTACCGTAGAAAAAAAGGGTAAGGCATGGGTGAAGAACTATCTACAGGTTGAAGCTATGAAGCTTCGAAAGAAAGGAGATATGTACGGTTTGAATAGAATTACAATGAGACAGGGCAATTAAGATGTGATGCATATGAGGGAAACAATATACGGACTACAGGTTGATGTAGAGAACCTTAGAGGGAAAGGAATATTTACAAGAGAATATAAATACATAGAGAGTATTGGTCGGAGAGGCACTAGGGAATTTATGAGAAGACTTATTTGCGATGGATCTGTGGGAACTACCTTGGACAATGTATCGAATATATGGGTGAGAATGTTGCATAGGTCTTGATTAGAGGTGTGGATCTGTAACCTGAGTGTACTGGCGGAAATCATTGCTGTAGCGGTAAAAGAGGTACTATAATCATGCATTAGTTTGCTACATATCTCAAGCAGGTAAATACTCACGTCGTTGTGCATTACACTGTTGATGTAAAAGAGCAAACAGGGTGTGCATTGTGTGGTTTGCCTGCATCGAGCACATGTTTTGGCCTGGAGAAGCTGCCTATACTCAATGAATGTTTTCCAGATTTTTGAATCAATCTCTTCAGTGTCCCTTGTTGATGCAGTTGAGGAGTTGCTGTCAGAAGCATTACTATCATCATTCCTAGTGCTGTTGTCTGGGTCAGTGGATATAGCAATGTTGTCTGAGGGAGCAGTGACTTGGTGGATGATTGACATCTGATGGCTCATGGCCCTTGTGGTGGACTGTATCTCATCTGGGTTTAATTGACCATTGAATTTGCGTCGCATCAAATCAATCAACCCAACCCTTTCTTCGCGCACCAGACTCAGAGTTCTTCGAATATTGTCGGTGTCTGTTTTGGGCGATCCATTGATCCCTATTTCCATCGTCATCTCCACCCCTGCTTATGAAACGACTGGGATGCTCACACGTCGGGCTGAGTATGATTGATTCCCCGAGTTTATCACCCTGCATTACTGCTAGATTTCCTCAGCCGTCGTTTCGTTTCGTCGTGATTTTCTCCTTCATTCCTTCCCTTTCTTTTCTTTTCTTTTCATTCTTGGTTTCGATATAGAATTCTTTCTCTTTCTCTCCTTCTTTCCAAGGCCTTTCCTCCCTGCCATTTCGTATCCCCTTTCCTTTTAATTTTGACGGCAATAGCGAAACGAAGCCCAGGAAGAATCCAAGCAAGTGTAATCAGGAGCACAGCTAAGAAATAGGATTAACTCTAGAAACCCAATCATAACATAATTATATCTAGTCAGGTTAGAGGGAGCTTGCCATTCGTTTACTCCACGAGCTTGAAAAAAGAGAGAAAGAGTAAAAAAGAAGAAGAATCCAATCCTATAACGAAACCAAGCATGCAAGGAAAAGGATAAATCCCGCGAGTAATTCTGCGATGAATGCCCCAAACTCTTCGTGTCACATCCCGTCCATGGCTTTATCCATCGTGTCATGCATTATTTTCTAAGTAGATTTTGAATGCAGTAAGCGATTTCTTCTATTCTGTGGATGATTCACGGACGGATTGGAGTCGAGATGATAGGTACTAGTGCTCGTGGTGATAGTATCTCGTTACCTTCCCTGTCTCTGCTTATCTGTTTCATTTCCCTTTCCCTTTCCTTGGAGACGGAACGTGGTGTCCTTGTATTCCAAACAAATAGGATACATACATCCTACGTTTATTATGCTACCTTGCAACCTTGCAACCAAACACGTAGCGAAAATGGAACTTGAAAGGAGTTAGTGACATCGTTAGGGGGGTTGATGAGGAGATGGGAAGATGATGACTGGGGTTGTACTTGTGAGGTGAGGTATTCTGTCTTCTACCCTCTCCGAATAAGCACGCCACGATTCCTAGAATCACCGGAGCTTCCAGTAGAGCTCCTCCCAAAAACGTATCCTCGCCAACGTTCCTATGACATGTACTAAGTACCTCGCCTCATCCCCGTCATCATCAGTGCATCACGGAACTTAAACCCGGTAAATTACATAAATGACGTCTCTGAAATCCCTCTAAAGATCACGACGAGGTCTCGACGTCGGCCATTCTGTGAACCCACATGCTTGTATGGTATGTCAAAAGTAGGCGAGCTCTGCCTGAGGTAAACGCCAGAATGAGTAAATGGGGGGATTTAAAAAAAAAAGGGAGGGGGGGGGGGGGGGGGTTGAGTTAGCCCTTTCCACCTAATCATCCTCATGCTTCTCCAACAACAATCCGAAAATAGAGAGAGCGAAGAAAAAAGATCTTCCGACACGGGGAATTGAACCCCGGGCTATCGCGTTCCACTTGAGAGGCGATAATGTTAGCCACTACACCATATCGGACATGTCAGTTAGCATTCACTTAAAATTAATGGGGCACCTCCGAAGTATTGCGAGGCAAGCATACTTAGCATTGAATGTCGTTGTGACAATGTTGTGCACATAATGTTGCAGAAATAAATATTCTTTATATGCTATTTTCGTGATTGGTCAATCAGCCTTCCGTGATCCGAGATCCGAGGCCTAGCGATCATGATGCGAGTCGTAGACCCTTTCCACCGAATCCCAATGCTCCTAGGCCGAATTTCCTGGATGATGTTATATCAACATTCCACCGTACGATATCATTGTGTGCTGTTGTTGTTTTCTCTGTAACTTTGGTATTGTAATAGCATTGGTCTCTCATCACTACATTTGCTGCGAATGTGACTGGACCGTGGTACAGATCGTTCGTCTGCAATGAGCATTGCGGTAGTTCAGTATGTGGCGAAAGCGAATTGGGAAGAGTTGTGAATAATGAAGCTTTGGAGTTGGCGAAGAAACTGATATGACTTAAGAGGTAGTTGAATATTTGAACCTCCTTATTAATGATCTGCCTTCAGGCTACTAGTATCTTCACCCTCTCGTTCACCCCTCGTTCTGTCCCAACTGAATTTCTTGGACGATTCGACCAGGCTCCAGCGGGTACGAAGTTGTAAGCGGCTCCAAGGATTGTAGGAGGGATCGAATCCGGACGAATGGTTGTATGCTCTTACCTTTGACTTAAGTGTTCTTAACATGTCGACAAGGGATTCAAAGGTCGTTCTGAATAAATAGTATCGAGTTGTATGCACTCACTCGATAATGGAAAATTTGCATCCTCTAGATAAGCAGGCACGGACGACTTCGGTGAGATTGTGAGAGTAATGGATAGGAAGGACTGCTTTATGATTGTGATTCGTCCGGCTCACGTTGGATCCGGATAGAACAGGAGACAACTCACCTTTCGCCATAACATCCATTAACATCCAGGTTGGGTCCGCAATGCGATCTACGCTCACCATCTCAAGCATATGTCCGATATGGTCTAGTGGCTAACATTATCGCCTTTCATATGGCAGCTTACTTAACAGCACGTTCAGATCGCGATAGCCCGTGGTTTAATTCCCCGTGCCGGAACAATTACTTTCTTTTTCTTTTGTGGATGAGGACTGCGAAGTGGATTGCTCGTCGACCGCCGGCTGGGAACGCAAAGCTCGGGTTCAAATTCTGGGATTAATTCCAGGCAATAGTCAAGAAGGTCGGAAAATGATTTCAGATATACCTACACATTGACCCACGGTAGCCTTCAACTCAGGATGTCATTGAGGAATAGCCTTTAGAAATTGTTGCCTTGGTAACGAGGATGCGATCCTTACATAGACATTCCGATACTGCAAGACTTCTCTGGACTTCGGATGCTGAAGATTGCTGGAAGAATCAATGAGTTCCCTGCACGGCCCGAGTTGAGGAATTGTATAATGTACCTTCCACCAAGCCTAACGCGACTGGCGACGAAGAACAAGAAAATATGTTGAATGAAATTGACCCGAAAAATCCGAAAAATCCCGCTGTGCCTTTTCTGTAGTTTGGCACGAGTTGGGTTGGAAACAAGACAGATTTTATGCAATGGAATTCGTTGTCGACTCGTATGAATATCTGCCACCCATTGGAATTCTTAAGTCTTGACTCTGTGGCATTTGAGACAAGTTTCGTTCGTGTTTAATTTCTGAGAAAATAGGCTACACATACCTAGCCACACAAATACTGCGTACACTCGTTTTCTGTATAGGGTAGGATTCGGTGGGATTTCGAATCGGGCTGAGGTTACGTTAGAAGACTTGTGCTTAAATCTATGTGAAATATATTAGCATGCAATATTACGATTGGTGGCTGCAGAAAAGTGGTATCGAGGTACCCGGGGTCCTACAGGGTCTTGCCCGAATCCGAATTGGTATTTCAGCTCAATAGACCTTGACGGCAGGCGGCAACGGCAACTTGCAAGCGGCGAATGTCAAAGGAATCCCCGGATCCCGAGTGTATAACATGTATGTATTGTTCCTCCCTCGAGCTCCCTCCTACTTCATTGATTATAGTTACAAGCGATGAGCGAGCTCATTAAGTACCTCCATGTTAATGATTCTCGGAGATTTCGCGAGCCTAGGCCGATCTGATGGGGTTTGATGGGAACGTCTCGCTTCGGTGTCCGCCAGTCACATATGTATACAGGAGCCATTAAGCCAACGGGTAATTGACGAGAGGTGTGCAACTGCTGCATGCCTACTAGTAGGATAATAAATAGGGTGAAGGTGTTATCGAAGGTGTGGAAATCCGAAGATGGACACTGCCACTGCCGCTCTGCGTGTGTTTGAGTTTGGTGGGGTTGGCTATACTTAGCGTCGATCTGTAAGCACGCTCCAAACCCCCGATTCTAAGGATATATACAAACACTGCTAGGAAGTTGTATATATTCTCGCAGTCGGAGTAGAAGAAATAAGAAAAGCGCAAGTTCGGATGGAGCCGAGTGTCACGAAACGCGGATGCCAGTGAAGAAGGAAGGAAGCCGAAGATGCGCCAAGGAGCTAGCAAATGATCAAGCAGGTATGTTTTAAGTTTCTGTCATATCGATACTGTGCCCATTCAGCCTCAACTCAATTCCAATCCAGTTGGCGCAACACTGTAACGTAACGTATTTATTACGAAGATAAGAATTTAATGGAATGAGATATATTGGTCACAGCGCCAGCATCCTTCCATCCCTTCTCACTGGCAGACTTCTCCAAAGGTTAAGAACAATGTGTAAACCCACCTGTCAGCGGCGACGCACTCCAGCACCACCGGTCCACTTTGCTTCCCTTCCCTTCCCTTCGCATCTCCACGAATGAGAGATACCACCTCACTTGATATCTGCCTCCACGTCGTGATCATCCAGCTGGCTCAAATCGAAGTGTTGGATAAAGGATAACGAGAAGGTCGGTCGAGTACCTGTGCCATCAGGTGCCATCACAGATCTGATCATCTCTTGATGGCGATGTGGATGGGTGGACTGGAGTGAGAATGCTCCCGAAGGACAACTATTAAGGAAGATGCCATGTGAAGATGACGTGAGGATGTTTTCTTTATTTAATTGGATTTGGACGAATGGAAATGAGAGGTCCGTGAGGGAGGTATTTGGAATTCGGAGCGGAGTAAGGTGTATGGCGTATGTATGGTGTACGGTTTGCACAATAAATACACCTTCCTTATATTTCAGCTTTGAGACCCCCTGATATTTGAGGGAATTCCCCGATATTTCAGAGAGGTCAAGACTCGTCCGAAAAATTTGAGGTTGAGGGTAACTCAGGTGTGGGAGCGGGGCTGTGCTATACAGCGTCTAAGGCCCTCCGGTCATTGTCACGCTGTTTCCCAGGGTCTGCTCACTGTTCAGAATATTGACAAAAAGCCCTAGAAAATGGAATTATTGCTAGAAAAATAAAATAAACATACCAGTATGTGTGAGTAATAGAATAACACAATAACAGGAAATTGACTGAGGGAAAGAAGTGCACAAAATCCCATCGGATATACAGGCTGTGTGAAGGCTTACTAATTGTCCTTAGTAATTCACCCTAACCCTAACTTTGTATCCTTAATGATTACCTCTTTGAAATATTGGGGGGTCTTAAAGCTGAAATATAGGGGAGGTTATTTATTGTGCAAACTGCACACCATAAAGGTGCAATACTTATACCTCAGGACATTCTATTCTACTGACTCAAAGCAATACATCAGCATTCAAAGCTGCATTTAGCCTATGATAAAGTTTTAGAAAGAATATCAAAGGTATTATTTCATGTCATTGAGATTTCCAAGTGTCTTTACATAACTGCACTGTACAACCAATTTATGGAGCTATTTGTTAAGCCCCATGCTTAAGTGTCATGCCATGTGACTTTGCTAAACCTCAATGAAGCTTTGGAGAGCTTCATTTGACTTCATGTCACACTTCATTTGATTTTGTGTCTCACCTCCTCATCTTTGTGTTCACACATCACACCCTTGGGATACATTTTTAACTTTACTTTGACCACTTCAGTGAAGCCTTCGCCCATCTATTTCATTCATCACATTATTCTGCCTCATGATATCCTTGAGGAAATTCTCAATCATCTTTGGCCCTAGTCCCATTGATCCTTGGTGAATCCTCAAACTGTCATCTGACACTTTGTCTGTTCCTTTCCATTCACTTATGTTTTGCTCTGCTCACTTATTCATTTATCATATTGTATCTTCTGCTTATCTTCTTTTGGCATATTTTCCATAATACCTTTTTGTTTATTCACTTTATCTTTTGTAAATGACTTGACCCTGTTATATGCTGTTTACTAATTCTTCCGAACCTTCACTATTCAACAATATGCATATACTCACTTTGTTGTATCACTGTTACGGGCTGATCCTAATGATAGGTTTTGAAGTGTGACTGAATTAATGGCAAAGTCCAACTAAGGAAAGGGAAGTTAGAACTGAAGGACTTGGCTTCAACGTACATGGGCTGCACCTTCTTGAAATGTACATGTCCTTAATTTGGAACAGATTAGAACCAACAATATTAGAATGAAGTCAAATACCAAAGTTCTGAATGATGTTGCAAATGAAGATAAGACTTCAGAGTAAGATCAAGGGTTCAAGGTAGAGTTTGGAAATAATCCTGAGGGGTTCGTATTCAATTCAAAGGCTTTTGGAGGTCTGAGGCATATAGAGGAGAAAGAGCACTAGGCTTGAGTATGGGAATGATATACACACAATTTCCAACTGAAGAAAACTAGCTAAGATACATGTCCTTATATACTATAAGACCATTGACCAAAAAGGGAATTACAAATAGTAACTACTTCAAAGTCTGGAGTGAAGTATGACATAAGTGATACAAACAATGGGTATATGTGTATTGTCAAATAGTGGAGGTTCAGGAGGATTAGTAAGCAGCTTACAAAAGATAAAGTGAATAAAACGAAAAGGTATTATGGAAATATGCCATAAGAAAATATAAGCAAACGGAAGATATGTCATGATAACAATAAGCAAATGGAAACAATACATATCAATTAGAAACAAATGTGATGAAGTGTCACCTGTCAAAATAGAAGAAGCACCAAGGACCAATTGTGCCAGGGCCAAAGTTGACTAATAATAGTCTTCCAGGAATTGTGGAGTAGATAGTGTGATTGAATGAAGTGGTTGGGTGAAGGCTTTGCCCAAGAGATCAAGAGTAAAGTCGAGGATGTGAATCAAGGGTGTGTTGTGTGAACACGAAGATGAGGAGGTGACACAAAGTTGAAGTGGGGTGCAAAGTTGAATGAAGCTCTCTAAAGGGTATGTAACCTTCTCTGAAGCTTTGTTGAGGTTAAGCGAAGTCACGTGGTATGACACTTAAGCACAGGGCTTAAAAATCACTCATGTTATGCTTTCTCTGGACTTTGAAGTAGCTACTTATTTGTAATGTCTCCTTCCTTTTCTGTCTTTCACTTTTTAGTATAAAAGGCATGTATCCTTAGCTAGTTTCTCTAGTTCAGATATTATGTATTCAACCCTATACTTGAGCCTTGTGCTCTTCCCTCTACACACCTCTACTCCTCTGAAAACCTCTGAATCATTTTTACAAAGTCTTTGTACTATTCCTGAACACTCCCCCAAACCTATAACCTTGGTCCTGAAGGCCTATCCTTTGCTCCAAAGTCATACCTTCATTCAGAACTTCAGTATTCAACTTTGCTCTTATATTGTTAGCTGTAATCCATTCTAAATTAAGGACATATACATTTTGAGAAGGTGCAACCCACATATGTTGATGCCAAGTCCTTTGGTTCTAACTTCCCCTTCCTTGGTTCAGCCTGTAACATGAGCTATGGGTACCTGGTGCCTAAAATCTGTACAGATACAGGTTTCCTCACATGCAGAAATGCCTTATGCATGGGCAACCCACTGAAAAAGCTATATAGCTAGTAATTTAATAGACAAATACATATCTGTCCTAAATGCTAAGCTATCTATGCTAAACAAGTCCTTAAATCAATTGTAGTTACTGTTATCTAATCTACTGTCAAGTCCACCACTGTAAGGGCAACCCTTGAAGCCGAGCGGACGTCACGCAGAGCTAG